CTTGAAGCGAAAAAGCCCGTTAGATGCCACTAACTATTCTGGTAACCGGTGGGTGTTGATGTTGGGAGCTTGACGCACGCATCGCCACTCTCTAACTAGGGACTTGATCCGGTGCTCAGGGTGGGAGCTTGCCCGACCGTCTCCAATCAGGCGGGTTGTCGTGGCATTTTCGGGCAGGGGTGCGGGTTCCCTCCAGCAACACAGAGCACCAGGCACGATCTGTGCTGCGAGAGTATGTAGGAGGTCTTGCGCATGTCTTTTGCACCCGCCGGGAGCGTCTCTTCCCATGCCGGGCAGGCCTTAGAGTCTGTCCATCTGCTGCTGCCCGCATCGCGCACTTCCTGACAGACTGCGAGGCGCGGTGCCGCGGTGCGAAATCGCGAGATTGAGGCGAGGTACTCGTAAGTGCTTTGGCCTTGGCAGGTTTTATGCAGCACCGGTCTTACGATGTCGGCGGTGATGTCCATTTGCCACAGCAAGGCCCGGCGGGAGAGAAGTCAGGTAGCTGGAATTTCCCAAGTATACAGTGAGATGGGGCATCCCATCTCAACAGGTCGAGGAACGACCTCGGCCCTGGCGCACAGAAGGAACGCGGCAGGTGGCCAAGGAGGACTCTCAAGCACTGCCATGGCCGGTTGGCTGCCGCCTTTGATATCCACAAAAATGTCTCGGCTGCTGCTTGCTGCAGTGCAGGACGTTCGGCCGAAGATCGCAGGACCGGTCCGCTCTCGGAGTAGTGTTGTGGAAGGCCGCTCGGAGATTCTGACCGCAGGAGCCGTGGTTACGAGTCGGCCACGCGCTCCCAAGGCGCGGTCGGTTCTGACGGCGAAACGGCCAGATGCTTGTCCCTGCAGCACCCCGCTGCGTAAGGCCGCGAAGTTGCACCAGCGGCAGCGTGTGCGCTGGCCGCGCGGATGCCTGAACAGGTCCACCGTCACTGCTTTGCAGCCTCCGTGCGGCTTTTCTAGCAACGGAAGCGCAAGCTTGTTGAACAGTCTCCAGGTCAGGCGCGGTGCAAGAGGAGGCCGAGGCCGGTGCAGGGCATTGGCTACCGGCAGCTCAGCCCGATGCTGTAGGCTGTTCCTTAAATCCAGCACGTGCCGAAATCTACTAGCAGCACAGGCACGACGTGCTTGCATGTGCATATGTTTGTGCACCGCAGGTAGGGCACCTGCGAGAGTGTTTTGTCAAAGATGACGGCCAGTACGGTGGTGCACATCGAGCAGGGCCCTGAGACGAGGTACTGCAACGGTCCGGAGCTACACCAAAAAAACACTTTTTGAGCAGGGGTCCTCGAGGCGCCCTGGTCCGAAGGGGCCAGACTTCTTTCTTGCTTCTTTTGTACTCTGCAGAATTGGTCTTGGTGCTGGCGCCGAGTGCAAGTGATCCTTCGCGGTCCCGGTAATCCTTCTCGAAATCGGCGCTACTGGAACTTGCCTAAGGTTCGAAATCGCCGATGCTGTTTCGTTGAGGTGTCGGAGATCACAGTGCGAGTCCCACGTTCTGCCTTGCCTCTGAGTCGAGGTTTTGGGGTGTTACAGGATACCTGTGGCTGGGACAAAACAAGCAGTTTCAGTTCTCGTGTTTTGTAGCGAGCCCGATTCTTGTCAACATTCTCGTCTGGTACACAGGGCTTGTGAAGAATGCGGATTCGGCAGAGCAGTGGCAGAGGTCGGGAGCCGCCATTTCAAGTTGGAGACGCACGTGTCGCACACCGTGCACCAAAGCCACTCGGAGAAGAATACCGAGTTATGCCGAGTTGCAGTCAGCCCATTGCGTTTCAGCCGCATACAGCCTTCTGATGATTCTAGTGGTTTGTCACAGGCTCTGAGGTTCTCAGGATGGAGATCCTGCCTACTTCTGACAGTGATATCACAGCAGGGCAACCTGACAGAGTGGACGGCGTTTTCTTGGTGGTGCATGCCAGGTGTTCAGCGCCCAGTCGCTGCACCGGCATGGCCATCAAAGAGCCCATGGCTACTCGGGCCTGTTCAAGCATTTGCCGACCATGTCTCCGCTGGCTTAGCTTTTCATCATCACTCTCAAGCGATGGAGACCACAAGCACCGAATGCCAGCGGGTTAGAGAGTTAGAGGGCGAGAGGTCGAGGAATGGGTTTCCTGAGCAGCTGCAATATTCCACTGCAAGTCAAGCACTATGCCTTCGACACTTGTCTGTGTCGGTTGGCAAAAGGAACGAGCTAATATGTCAGAAAGGTCTCTCCCGTGCTGCTTGTTGGCTTCACATGCATAGCAATGCAAACTCGCGGTATGCTGAGCTATCCATATCTGTACGGCAACGTGTTTCTGTCGGTCAGTCTGCTAGGATTGCCACGACCTAAAATGGATAGTGGCAAAGGCCAAGAAACCTATAGCGACAATACAAAACAGCATATAGTATACAAAACTTAATATCTTAATATATGATATTCAAGTTAGAAGCATCAAGTGTGCAGTATTATGATCTACAAGATCTGCAATACAGACTAGATTTTGTATCATCTTTTGCCAGCCTCTTGCCAGGCAGAAGAATCGACTGCGCGAGCGATGGGAGAAGAAGTTTGCGTGGGATTGAAGCAACTTGAAAAGGGCCTTGACAGCCCTTAGGGTTTAGGGTGTAGCATAGCGGCTACGGCCTTGAGTGCGGAGAGTCTTATGAAACTGTCCATATCTGGCAGGGTTCTCTTCAGCCTCTGGGGAGTTTGTTGCGTTTCCTGTGCCTGCCTCTAAGGGGCGGTGGCGCGAAGCTTGTATAGCAAGGTGTACAGTGTACAGTGTTCAGATCAGCGCCAAGCATGCCTGTCAAAACGCTCTGACCGTATGTGCAGATCATCTCATGTTTGAATCATGTTGGCACGGAGTTCGTGATCACCCAGAGCCCAAGACCTGCAAGCCTTCACGTGAACAGCAGTGAACAACGTGGCAGCAAGGCAATGGACTGAAAGGGGTGCACGTTGAATACATGGACTAGCCCGCACAAGCTCGAATGCTGCCCCGATTCTTTCAGGGGTTCGACCACCATTGCCGATACCTCAACGTTTGTGTGGGGGGCAGGACATGCCACGCTTGTGATCGTGTCGTATGAGGGGTGGGGAGCCTCATCTGGGGCGGCAGGAGCTACCCGGCCTGGTTTAGCTTCGTGGCCCGGGGCCCAAGGGAGGCTGCAAGAACATTTGCAGGAACATGTTTGACATCATGCACATGTAACTTACAAATGAAGCTCTGAAGATTCCGTCTTCCCGCGCCACCGGGAGGCGCTGCTGTTCATACTGATGGTCACGTGCAGCTTCGCCCACTTCCACTTGCTCAGTGATCCGTCGAGGCATGGCCCAGCTCCGATCTCTGCTACATGTAGCTGCGGGCTTGAGGGTTTAGGATTTTGAAGGTAGAGGGTTTCGGAGTCCTGCATGTCAGTCACGACTTGCACCAGTCGCAGCCAGTGGTGCCGGAGCCTCGTCGTGCGAAGCAGCATGGAAGAATGCAGATTCCACAGACATCAGGCCATCCAGCTCTGACTTCGTCGGCGGGGGGATAAGATCTCTTGCTGCTGTTGAGGTTCTATATCTTCGCCAGCGTTGCTGGTTGTGTCAGAGCCCTTGTTTCGAGGTGCAAGGGAGCTGCTAGCTGCATTCTGTCCTGCGCCTTGAAAGGGTAGATTGTGTTCCTGGATTAGTTGCATCAAGAAAGCCGGAATGCCACGCTCAGATATCTTCCATGGAATCTCTATTCCTCCTTGCGTTGATCGCCACGACCTCAGTGGCTTTACTTGGGGGTCGTCGTTCTCTGAGTAAGACCAGACGAGTTCGCTCTTGGCCAACTGTGCTATGTCCTGTGTCGTAAGGATGCCGCAGATTTGTTTGCTATCCCAACCGCCGATACTGAGTTGAGTCAAGCATTTGCGCTACTAACTGAATGCGTGCTTGTGATGGATCTGGTGTTGCGCTTCGGTGCGGCAGAGTTTTATCGCACAAGGAGCCATGAGGTAAGCAACACGGGTGCGAATGCCGATTCTCCTTCAAACCTAATGTCGTCTTCGAAAAATCTTTTTGCCAAGTGGGGCATATCTGAGCCTTGAGCATTCGTGAACAGCTCGGCATGGGACAGCATGACTATTGAATGCATTCGAAGCTAAAAGGCTGTCTGTGCATGTATTCCGTTGAGCAACGATGTTTTGCGGGCTCAGAGGCTCCCCCTCGTGCAAAGCCACCCCTCTGGATTCTCAGTCCTGCTTCGCCCTCAGCGCCGTTCCAAGGCCCAGCACACCTACTTCTGCTTAGTAGGCTCGGCTTGCGATTCTTGCCGGATTGTGCACTTCTTCCCACGAAAAGCTGGCGCAATAGAGGCGGCTATCGCACAGTGGAAGCTCTGTCCTTGGCTTTTCAGACGCCTGGAAGGCATCACCACTTTGGAGTACATCAAGGATCAGGCCCGGGACAATAAGGACATGCGGCTTTGGACTTCACTTCATCGGTTCTTCCATGCTACAACATCAAGATTTCAGTTTAAATGAGGGAACTGCAGCAATCTTTACGTTTCGATCGGAAAACTGCAACTGTGTCGTGACTTCGTGCCAAGACGCGCCTGCAGAGTGTGACCTGGAAGCCCTGGATCATACATGATCATACTATCACCTGCTGCGAAGCCTTCAAAACTAAAAATTGGACAGCTCATAAACTCGTGCCTTCTCGTGCACGGATTGCCCGAGGCCAGCGCCTTCCCAGGGCTGCCGCCGAACGGCTGGCGAGAGGCTCGGGAGTCCCGGAACAGTGCTGGATGCCGTTCCGAGTTCCGACAACGAAGAGATTCCCGCAAGACTTGAGTTGGCTAGCTAGTCTTTCCACTCACAGTTCGCTCCTTTCTCGGTTCAGTCGCTTCGCTGTCGCATGCTGTCGTCAAGAGCTTGCCAAGCTTCGAGTTACAAATTCTTCCGCCGTGGATCAAGGTCATCGTGGGCGAAGTATTGAACTGTTCGCTCACATGGCCAACTATTGCGAGTGTTGCGGTGTGAAGGATAAAACGGGCCGGAAGGCTTGCTGCAAGTCTGGCAGCGGAGGTACCGCCGGGTGTGGGACGCGCTGCAAGAGCAGACTGTTCTGACGACCGCTCGCTTCGAGCGGTCGTTAGAACAGTCTGCTCTTGTAGGTCGTAGAAAGGTGCTGCGCGAAAGTCGGTCTGCAGAAGCAGCCATGCAGGTAGTGTTGGAATCTGCAGCAAGTGTTTTCAAAGCAGATATTGCGGCTGTCGTGCCGGAAATCAATATTCCTGAGCCGCTTCCAAAGCGCGAGCCCGCGTAGTTGCGATTGAAGCTTGGCTCCAATACCGAGTGAGGCACATCCTTTGCAAATGCAAGGTGGCGGTGGTGGGCTGCTGTTCCGCGAAGCATCGGCAAAACAACCTTTGAAGACATTTGAAGGAGAGACCGGCAGCCAGTGCGACGTGACGTTTTCTCTGATCAGCGAGAACCCGTATGTTGTAGATTCAAGTGCAGGTCTATCAGGGAAGCGATGTCGTTCACCCTCCCTTGTACTCCAATGCGAGCCCAAAGGATTCCAACATTTTAGGAAAACGGGATCCTGACGTTGTCTGAACTTTGGCAGTTTGGCAGGCTGTGGAGCGCGGCGAGTGCCCGTGGCTGAGTTTCCAAAGCAAGCTGGACCGCGTCTGAGGGTTCGAAGTTGGATGCAATGCGACAAGCGTGTTGAAGTTATAATATGTTAGTCTGTGCTCTGAGTGCTGTTAATTACGCGGTTAAACTTTGTATGTGAGTAAAGAGAGCAAGTCGATAAGATAAAACGAGCAAGTCACAAGCAGACAGACAATAATCGATACATGGATAGACAACTCCACACATGGCTAGCTGTACCCGTAGTTAGTTTTTACATATTAGCCTGTGCGGCGTGTACTTGTGGTCTTGGGACGTGCTCTGCCACACTTGCAGTCGTGCTCCGGTCGGGCGGCCTTTTCTGAGGCTTCGACTGTGGTGGCCTCTTGGAGCCCCTTGGCTTCGGTATACCCTAAGGGTCCACGTACCCAAATAGTATATACTTTGGCCTTAAAGTAGTCCCTATATAGGTACTTTGGGGCCAATGTATATACTATATGAGTACATGGACCCTTAGGGAGAGTGTTTACGGTTGAGGTTTAAGGTTTAGGACTTCCCTGGCTGTGAACCCTCATGCCAACCAGCCTGGCCTATCCCTTCATCCATGCATCCATCTTTGGTCCCCCACACTGCATCACCCGTCATCTTGTGGCGAGGCTGGTGGAGGCGCCTGATGTGAATGAAGCCTGGCGCCTGGAGACTTTGCATGACGCTATGTATGCTGCCGCGGTATGCATCACTTGCACTCAGGTGCTCTACTGCTCTATCTGCCAGGGTGATATTGCCAAGGCCCATCATGCTTTAGCCACGAGGAGCTTGGTTCTCACCAACACGGACTTGCAGCAGAATCTCACTCCTCTCCGTGTGTGAATGTGGTGCAAAACTACTGTAGGTCACGTACCCTATGCAAATATTTACTGTCATTCTGTCCTTGGTTATTGTCGTTTGTAATTTCCTCCCTGCTCACGTTCCATGCAGAATCCTTGCAGGCTGGCGTAGTCTGCTGGCAGTGTGACATTTGCGACCTTTGCTCGGTATGCTGCTCAGATCCCGATTTTCAATCCGCCCTGCTGCAAGGCGATCCATCATTCGACCATTGACCATAGAGTTAGAGCAGTGACGTCATGCCATGGACCGCATGGGATCGTCAGAAGTAACAGTAGCACACCATTGTGAAGCGACCACGAGACCACGACCAAACGTCGTAACGGTCACCACCCGCAGCCAAATAGGGCGTAGGTGTAGTGCAGTTATTCTGGTGCAAATGGTGAGAAAAATTACCTGCCGAGCAGTCTTGAGAAGGTAATCACAACATGGACATGTATATTTTCGACTGCCACATATCGCAATCCTCGTCGTGGTTCTCGTCGTTATCCTCATCGTGGCCCCCTCGGCCTCGTCGCCGTCACGCAGTGGTAGTAGTGGTGGTAGGATCAGTTGCACGAAGTCGTCGCTGTCATCATTTTGATTTTCTTCGTCGTCGTCGTCTTCGTCATCATGCTCATTTTAATCCGGGTCGTCGTGCACTACTGCTGCTGCTGCTGCTTCTACAAGTTTGTTTCGCCACTTCTCCTATTGCCAATGACATGGGAGTGACAAAGGGGACAGTAAAACACAACATCAGTAGCAGCCGCAGCCGCAGCCGCAGCAGCAGCAGCAGCAGCTGCAGTAGTAGCAATGACAGTAGCAGAGGCAGGATCACAAAATGCATCAACACCATGATTGCAACCACGACCGTAATGAGGATTCATCATAGCAATGGCTGCAAGGCATTGTAGAGCTACATTCAGCAAGCCCAGGTATGTCCGCTGTGTTATCGGTTAGCTTCGTCGACTTCGTCTGAGGCCAAGACCAGGCTTCAGAGTGAAAGTCGAAGCATTGGAGAGTTTCGTCTCGTTATGCCAAGGACAGTTATCACGTACCGCGCCGGAGCCTGATTTATGCATGTCAGAGCTGGCATCCGAACATGCGTTGTCATGATGTTTGAAGAAGTCACATCGAAGCCTTGGCTCGGGTGCACTCTGAAGACGCCATGGCTCTGCGCCGGTTCAGCAACCGGAGGAGGGGCAGCGATTGTTGCATGAATGACGAAGGCAAATGAGGCTGTCGTAGCTGTTGATGTGTTTGAGCCCAATGTGCAGGGCTGCGAGGCCGCAAGAGCCCTTGCTCCCCTTTACGTGGACGACGCGGGGTCTTGACTTTGTTGAGCACCGTGGGCTCACGCTGTACCTCTGCCTGACATCAGCAGGAGCACTTGGGTTTGCGCCTGCGGTTCTGATAGATGCACTAGGGCTGTGTCGGCTGTGTATGCTTACGAGAATGCAGCCCTTTCCGGTCCGCCCCTTCGCATTCCCTTTCTCTAGCCCATCTGCCCAACCTACGTGAAGCCCCTGGCTCCCGGAAGAGAAAACGATGCAGACAGCAATTAAATGCCCGCGACCTTAAGGTGGGATGATAGGGTGCTCTAACAACCCCATGTGGCAGGAGAGCGTCATGATTGCGTCTTTCCCGTGACTGCGTCGCAGAAGCCTGTGATCGAGTCTACGGGATCCTCACTCGAAGAGTACTTGGCAGAGGCGCCCAGCGGCGGGGACATGTGGACGGAGGGATGTTAGCGGTCGTTGCGCTGTCTGCAGGGCCTGGTGCAGCACACGGGCTCATCGGAAGCTGCAGGTGCAGAGAGCGACGGCAGCTCGGCATCCCGCGAAAGCCTGTGACCTCGCCAGGGAAGAACTTACATATACCACTATCAGTCATGGCCGCAAACATGTGTACAAGTATGCATGTGCATGTAAGACTCATGCAAGATGTGTCTGTGCATGCATGTAGGTATGCATGTATGTATGTATGTATGTATGTGCATGTGTGCATGTGTATGTGTCTGTGTAACTGTGTAAATTTGTACAGATGTGTATATGTGTATGTGCATGTGTATGTACATTTACATTTCCGTGTACATATATGGCTACGTGTATCATGTGTATGTGTTTATGTATATGTATACAGAACTATGTGTGTATGTTTATCTACATGTATATGAATATGTACATGTACATGTTTATGTAGGTGTAGGTGTAGGTGTAGGTGTCGATGTGGGTGTGGGTGTGGGTGCCGGATGTATGTATACATACATATCTACGCACACCTTCTGTATGAAGGTATGCATCTGCTTTTCTAAAGCAGCAAGAGTACTGAGTACACCTTAATCGTGCCATGATCTCCTCTGCATCTCCGAGGACCTCAGAAGACGGCCTCGCCGACGGCCTCGGCGGCTTCCACAGCTGCGATCCCTGCAGAGCTCACCGAGAAGGCGTCCCCTTCAGCGCTGGGAGACAGGCTTCGGGTTTGGGGACCACTTCAAAGGCTCCGGGGCTTCATGGAGCGGCTTCAGGCCCGCCGCGTTGGTTGTGTCACATCCTGGTTTGTATGCACATGTGTCTGTATGTGCATACCAACACCTTGTCGCGCACGGTTGTACAGAGGCTTGTGTATATGCGCGAAGAAGATGATGTATATCAAATGATGACGATGTTGTCATCGCCCTGGCATACAGCCATTTAGCTATCTAGCTATCTCGCTGGCTAGCTATCTTGCTATCTAGCTACGTGTAGCTAGCTAGCTATCTATCCAGCTGTGTATGTATGTATGTACGTATGTACGTATCTATCTGTCTACCTATTTATCCATGTATCGGTCTATCTGTCTATCTATCTATCTATCTATCTATCTAACTATCTATCCGTCTACCTATCTATCTATCTATCTATCTATCTATCTGTCTATCTGTGTCTCTCTGTCTTTTTATCTATCCATCCACGCATGAGTCATCTATCCGAATCGTATTTTACAGCCAGCAAACAGTATGCAAAGAGGTATGTCAGGAGATATACCAACAGCAACAACCACACCAGTGGACGCATTCCTATGCGTGTGTCGGTATTTCAAGAGTCTTATGCCTTGCCAAGTTACATACCGGAGCCTGTGATGTGGCATGAGCAGGCGACTAGGATCTGTAGGAAGCTCAGTTCGGCTGCGTTGACGCCGAAACATCTTCAAGCAAAACCCGTCATGCCGTTAACAGGAGGATTGTCTCTATGTAGATGGCCGCCATGTGCCAAACCAAGAACACAAAGCATGGCCCAGCAGGGTCTGGAAGCACCGCGACCGCATCGTAGAATCGTACGGCTTTCGGGTTAAAGAACTTCTTCTCCAAGCTGTGGTCCCCCACTCTCTCGCCGCCTCAGTCTGTGACTCTCTCACTCTCTTATTGCCCCTCTCGTCTGCTCTCCACTCGCTCGACACGTGTGCGTGTTCATACAGACTCATGTGACGTGATATGCATTGAACATGTTGGACTGCCGAGTGTTTTCGGAGGTCTGGTGTGTCCTGGACGTCAAGGCCGGAAGATCTGGCACGGCGAAGCAACAAAAGCAAGTGAACAAATTGCCAGTTACCACTGCTGTTGCTGCTACGACTGCTATCACACTGCTACTGTTATCGTTGCTGCTCTTGCTACCGCTACTACTACGTCTACTGTTGCTGCCGCTACTACTACTACTACTACGACGACGACTACTACTACTACTACTACTACTACTACTTCCACTGCTACCACAACCAACTACTACGTATAGAATGGGACAGAATAGAATAAATGGGGTGGAGGGTCCAAGTCGACCTCTGCATTTTCGTCTACAAGGCTTAACGGTAGGTAGCAAAGAAAGGTGTGCGTGTCGTGAATCGCACGTGCACGGGGAACTAAGACAAAATCCCGAGGTGTTTCGATCTGATTCGGCAACGAAGCGAAACCAAATATGGTTCCAGCTAAATATCTGTCAGGTTTACGTTTTTGCTTCTTCTGGAATTATATTATTATGGAGCATATGCTCGTTGATTCTCCTGTACAGTTTTCAGATAACGTCCATGCACGTTCGATACTTAGCAAGCATAAGTTCAATATATGGTCAATAGGTACGTGCTTGTGTTAACTGATATTCACCTAACTTGCCATCAATATTCAGTTCATGCAGATTCACGCAGATTTCAGGCATACTATACGCAATCTGCGCCACTTGATGTTTGCAGGATGCGTAAACACATCGGTCTTCTACTCGCTATACCTCTAAGAACCATTAGCCTACTTTCACAGTTACACCAGTCTTGTGCATGTTCGGTTATAATCCTGTTAGTATACAGGCAATATTCACGGATTTCAACGGTTCTATCATATATATGTACAGATCGACGGATGTTAGACCACGAATATCGTTGATTCCACTGCGAAAGGGATAGCAACAAGAGGGAGCATGCGAACTGGGCGTGCTTTCATGGCTAAAAGTCGTAGCACGTTATACATCGCCACAAGATTACGTTTGGAACATTCTCAAACTTGTAGTGCAATATTCGTAAGAGATAAAAGTTCATATTTTGTTAAATGTCAACTAAGTCGTAGCTACACCGCCGTTAAATTTTCGTTATACATGATTGAGTTTAGCTTCAGTAGGTGTGCATCACATATCATTTGCTTCTACTTGTGGTTAACTGTTATTGGAAAGTATGTTAACGCCGGTCAGATTTTCAGAGCACACCATGGTTCTTTAGTCTGGCTCTTTATGTCAACATCAAGTGCTACGCGAACAAGCGAAAGTGTGGTGTTGGGACAGTAGTGGCCCAAAAGTACAGCGACAATTGAGGTGGTCGTCGTCGCACGCAATCAGCTTGTGCAGTGCCTTATGTTCTTACAAACAGAAGGAACTAAAGTACACATTACAATTGCCAGGGGTACGCCAGGGGTACGCTGGAATAAACAGAAAGCACACACAACTCAAAAAGAAATACAGCAGCCAGACGCCAAAAGCCAAAATTAAGAAAGACAAAGATGCAAAACATGCAACACCCGCGAATCAAACAGTCGCGTAACGAAAAGATGCGGGGAAGCGGAGGAGGGGGATGGGCAGGAGCAAGGGCAGGGGGAAGGCGACAACCAAAATCCAACAGCAAGAAGCAGCCAGCACCCCCCCAAACCACACACAAAAGACAGCAACCAAGTTTCTGACAATGTTCGACGTATGTAAGATGTGATCAGATTCCACGTTTTCTTCAGTATGTTTTATTTGTATTTTTTGTTTGTATCTTTTTGTTTTTTTGTTGCTTTTTGGTTTTAGACATCATGCAAGTAGGAGATTGGAAAGGGAAATGGGAATAGTGCAACAACGGTATGTTTGTCTGTCTGGCTGTCTGCCGGTCTGTCGGTATGTATGTATGTATGTATGTATGTATGTATGTATGTATGTATGTGTATAAGTAAGTCTGCAAGAAGATAAATAATAAATACGTATATTACATCTCTGTATATATATATATATATGTATGCTTACTTATGTGTTATTCTGAATATACTTACGTATATTTGTGCATGAACGATGTTTCTTCATGTCGGTTTATCTGTCTGCTTGATCTCTTTGTCCATGCATCGACGACCCACCGCAGAGGCTTTGTACTCCTTCTTGGACTTGGCCACCCTGTTGCCAACCACGATGGTCTGCAAGGCCAGGGACAGGCGTATGTGTTGCAAACGACAGTTCGTCCATGTGAAGGCTTCGGGTGTGGACTTTGGTTTCGTCGCACCTGCTTAGGAAGTATGTACCCTTTCCGCTCTTTACGCCTCCCCAGTTGCTGAAACCCACGTCAGTACATTGCTGCTGCTGTTGCGTTGTTGTTGTGTTGTTGCTGTTGCTCCTGCGCTTGCTCCTGCTGTTGCTACTACTGCTACTACTACTACTACTACTACTACTACTACAGCAACTGCATGAGCAACTTGCTCATGCAGTTGCTGTAGTAGTA